GGAGAGAAAACTGTGGTGGAAGCGTCTAATCGTTTTACAGAAACGAACGATCGTGGAGGCCGGTTGCGCATAGCCAGGCCAAGGAAAGTACGTGAACCTTGCGAAATTTTCGTTTACACAGCCGCCCGTATATCAAAAGTTTAATTGAATTTTCGGCGAGGCCTTGGCCCGGGGAGATTAGGATCGTGGCCGGCCTCTTTCTCCCCCTACCCCTGTGTGTCTCTTTCCACCTACGACCCTGGCCGTCTTCCTGATACTCACGTCCTCTTTATCTGTGTACTCCGTCCTTACGCGAATATTATTCTAGCTGCCTCCTCTATCTTTGATTTTCATCCGATTGGGAGGTCGTAGGAAGCGTCTTCAATTTGATTCCACGAGAGATCTCGATGTCTGGTTTATTATAATAAGCGGACTTTTTTTTAAGGTAGGTTGAGATTTGATAATTAATAATATGATTAAGTTTTGTGTTTGTTAATTATTCTATTTTTAAGCGTGATGAAGATATGAAAGAATCATCGTTGGTGTTATTCTGAAATTTCCCTAGAGATATTAAACATCCTTTTGTCTGTTAAAAAGGAAGGGAAGAGGATATCTCTTTTTTAAATGAGAAATAAAAATTTGAAGATTTGGATTTCTTTCAGAAGAGGAAATTCCAGGTGAAATGATTTAGATGTACAATTATTTTTTGGTTGAAATACGTTGAATGAAATTATTATTGAATTGTTTCGTAAGTAAAAATGATTATGTTTAGAAAGATTGCTTGTTTAGGTATAGGGATTTTGATATTGTTATCGTTTGCTCTAGATTTTTGAAAGGGAAATATGGACATGATATGTTTGATTTATGAGGGATATTCGTCTTATTATTAGTGGTCAGGCGTATTTTCTACAAGTTCTTGGGAGAATTTCAAGGGAAATGAATACCCAGGTGTATACATAAATCTACAATACGCTATTATTCGCTTTTTTATTTCCTCGATGAGCTAGAAAATTTACTTATTTAGGATATTATGTTCAGAATATAGAATCTCGAATATAACGTAAAAAATATATCATAAAGTAAATTATTTCACATACAAAAAAAAAAAAAATAAAATAAATTCATATTTAAAAATTTCTTAAAAAAAAAAAATCCTTCCTATACACAATCTTCATAAAATTGTACAAATTATATTTCTTTCTACATCCATATCATTCGATACAATTTTATCGAACCATTTCCACAAATCAACGAGTTCGTGCAATGCATCCTGATAACGCACGACCTTCTTCTTGACAGAATACGAATAGATATTTGCATAATTACACGTTTTATTGTACCCTTTTGGTCATGAGGGTAAGATCGAATTTATCTCATTGGCCCTCACCTGTCCTGCACGATGCGGGTCGGGACAACTGACCACCTGTACAGTCCCAGCAACAAAAAAAAAAAGGAACGACCTAGAAATGTCTGTTATTAATGAGAGACTTCACATTAACAGCTTAATAATTGACGATCGTAATGTACTTCGCATTTCCACTTATAAATTGGTATGTATTAATGTCATTAATGTATTTATGTTATTAATGCATCAAGTGCATTAAATTTTACGCGAAATCTTTGTTTTTTGCAAAAAAGAAATTCATATAAATTATAAGTAGTTTACTTTTTTTTTCAAATTTTCAATCTCCATTTGTAAATTAAAAATTTGCAATCTTCTGTATTAAATTCCAAATTTCATATCATTTCTAATTCTAAATATTAAATTTCGATCTCGAATATCAAATTTCCAGGATTAAATTAAATAATTTAAGTTGTAATGAAAATTTAAAAGGTATTTGTCGTGTTTCCAGCTATCTTTAGTGACTCTCACGCCCGAAAATTCGTCACTTAAATCGACCCAAATCAAATTAAATCTTCATTCTCTCGACGGTTAGTTTCACAAAACGTTTTACACCCTGTATCGGTCCGATCGGTCTCGGAAATTTTAACGAGATTTCGAAAGCGGCCCTCTCTGGTTAAACAAAGGTTGGACACGTTGTCAGAAAAGGATCTGCGGAGGTAACATTCTTGCGGCTGGTGCGAGCCGCATCTCGAAGATCGAGGTTGCGTTCTCGTCGTTCAAAAACGACGATCCCGCAGGTCGTAGCAGCCGCGCGAAACAATAGAAAAGCCATAACTTTCTCCGCACGGCCATAGTCGTTACATCCTGTGTTTGGAGTGGCCGCGAGACGCGGAAAAATCGCCCGTATCTTGTCCTGTTTTATTTCTCAAAAAAAGAAGAAAAAAAAAAAGAAAAGAAAAAAGAAAAAAATTAAATTAACGCAATTAGAATTTTACTTCTAAATTATAATTTCTTTCTTAATTCTGTAATTTGAAAGATAAGAAATATTAAAGGATAGTAGAATTTTTATAATATATTATATGTTTATAAAGAAAAACGAATGAAATGAGGTTTCTGTGAAAAGAAAAAAAAGAAAGGAAATGTTTAAAAGTGATTGAAGTTATAGATGTAGAAGAAGAGAAAATTTAAGAAATTTGAATTGATATCAGTTTTGAATTCGGAATGTTCATAGCCAACTAATTATAAATTATGATTTCAAATTACAGCCTCTCCACTAACAATAAGACACGTCTTCATAACTTCGAAAGATATATTGAGCATTTCATAATAATAAATGTGCATCACTAATTCATGAAAAGCATCAGTAGACTGACCTTTAATACCACTATATATATTGACTCTTCTGCCTGTCAATTATTGAATATTATACACGATTTTAAAATTATTTGTATAAGACATTAATTATGCACAACAATTTAATAATTGGCTATCTCGATACCAAATACAATGATATGATTCTTCCAAAAAAAAAAAAAAAAGAAACGATTCATTCAGGAAATTTTTAAAATTAAAAGAAAAAAGAAAAATCGATAAACGAAACGGGGAAACGAAGAAATAAAAAAGACACCGTTCATTCTTAATTTAGAAGAAGAACGTAGTGGGGAGTAAAATTCGGTAGGCGCACCGTTACGTCGTCTAATCAGAAAATTGAATCGTCTTCTCTCGTCTCTCCCCTCTTTCCCCCTCCTCCCTTCCCTCCCTCGCAACTCTTTCTTCCCTCTGTTCCCTTTTGCCACCGATTCC